ACTAAGGTCCAACCATGAACAACTCAACACAAACGTATACTATACTAACACTTAGCATGCAAGACTATGCAATGAACACATTAATATAAGCATATAAACACATAAGCAAGTAAACAGTTAAGCATGCTTTTTCACGAAGCAAAACACTTTTACAAATAAGGAAATAACAATGCAAATGACTTCCTAGACAACCCTATGTAGGCCTCTACCCGTTGTCCTAATGGTTTTCGAACCATCGCTCTGATACCAAATTTGTAACGACCCCAAAACTGAAACTATTTTTAAAAAAAAAAAAATTTGGCATGACCTCCGCTAAAAGTGCTCCTACAACAATCTGTTCAATTGGAAAAAAATGCAACGACCTTTCAAGACCTATCCAACCTGCTCCAACACATAATACAAAAGAAATATAATACATTTCCCAATACCACAACATCAACAACCTCCCCAAGTTAGCCCATCATCGTCATCCCATTCAACTTAAGCATTTACATAGTCTTAGTTTACAACAAAAATAATCAAGGATCTTAGTTATGTTACACAGCCATGATTTACAAAAATGAATACCCTTTTACATAGTTTGAAACTATACCAAAAAAAATGGGTTTAGATACAAAAGATAACAAAATTTAAATCCTAATGTTCTTCAAGCTTGCAGAGGATTGTCATCTGCCACTTCTTTCCCATTTCCTGAAAAAAAAAATGTTAAATAAAAGGGGTGAGCAAAATTGCTCAATAGGTGGTGCCTAAGACACACCTCTTGTATCCCTGTGAATCCAAAAAAGGAATAGGACAATAGGAATCGGGGTTATACTATGTCGGGAAAGTACAACATTAAATCCAATCTCAGCATACACAATATGATACTATGAAATGCAATGCATGGCGATGTCGCTCCCCATTCTCAACATTCAAATCCATCACTTTCAAACTGTTAATATAACCTGCCCTTTGGTGACCCCGCAGTGACAAGAGAAAAAGATTGGCTAGTGTCCCTGACCCTTGGTACTCCCGCGGCATCATTTTGGGCCCAGCTAGCTCAACCACGCTAGGGCAATCTCCCTAGTTCCCTCTAGGCTATATTAACACACCAGCCCTTTGGTACCCCCGCGGCGACCGGGTTTTCATAAAACATTTTAATCAAAGCTTCTTCCCCAAAATTCCCTTTTTCATTTCAAAATAATTTTCCCCATTTTCATGCCCAATGACATGCATGAACATTACATACTTTCTCAAATGCCATAACAAATGAAAGACTTTTATACTATACAATTTAACATGCTTCCATTTAACAATTTCTAATAAGTTACTAACACCATAGGCATGAAAAATTAACACGTATACATGTTTTCCACATAGTAAGTTTTAACAAGTTATCAAACATACCAGCATATAAAATCAACATTTTAAGCATGTTTTTCACACAAATCCACATATGCACATAATCATGAATTTCATATACAAAACCAAATCATTTTAGAGGCATTCATCTCAAATTAAGCATGTTTAACTATAATTAACAAAGAATAATTCACAAGGGAACAAGAATCTCATGGATTAGGAACTCCTACCTCACTTTTATGCAAAACCCCCAATTTTTACCTCAAACCCGCAAAATGGGTCCAATTTTCAAAAATCAAAGGGAGCACCAAATTTGAAATTGCTGGTACTCACGTGTAGAACTCGTCGTGCTCTCCGTTTTGCCTCAAAAGACACTCAAAAATTTCAAGTATTAAAGATGGAATCAAAGCTTGAAGTTTGTTTCCAAAAAGAAAAGAAAAACAAATGAAGAATGACAAAGGAAAAGAAAGTTACGGGGAGAGAGAAAGTGAATGATCAAAAATGGTCTCTAGACCATTAGAAGTGTGAGTGGTGGGTCCCACCACCAACCTTTTTTTTTCTCTTTTTCTTTTTACTTCATTCCACACCACATATGTACATATACTACACCACCATAATAATGCTACATAATCACATAAATTAAAATGCACAAAATACAAATGGACCCAACTAAAATCCCGTACGCAAAACGTGAAAAGGCAGAAATACCCTTAAATCAACAAAATTCCAGAAAAATGAAACATGCGAAAAATTGGAAACATCACATTTAACGCGTCCTTTTTTTATTTTTATTTTTTACAAATATGCAAATTACATTTTCCTTTTCCATGTTTGTAAACATCAAAATTTTTAAGAAAATTTTATTTTTTAAACATCAATATTTTGGGCGGGTTTCATGGGTCTTTTCTTTTTTTTACAAGTATACAAATTACATTTTTCTTTTCCATGTTTGTAAACATCAAAAATTTTAAGAAAATTTTATTTTCTAAGCATCAATATTTTGGGTTCACGGGTCAATTTTTTTTTTTTTTTTCAAACATGAAAATTAAATTTTACCTTTTCCATGTTTGTAAATTTCAAAATTTTTAAGAAAAATTTATTTTTTAAACATCAATATTTTGGGCGGGTCGAGCACGGGTCAATTTCTTCTTTTTTTCTTTTTTTTTTTTTTTTTTGCTACAAGTATACAAATTACATTTTCCTTTTTTATGTTTGTAAACATTAAAATTTTCAAGAAAATTTTATTTTTTAAACATTGATATTTTGGCACAGGTCAGGCAGGTTTCACGGGTCAAATAATTATAATTATTATTATTATTTTTACAAATATGCAAATTACATTTTCCTTTTCCATGTAATTTTCAAGAAAATTTTATTTTTTAAATATCAATATTTTGGCACAGGTCGGGCAGGTTTCACGGGTCAAATTATTATTATTATTTTTTTTTTTTACAAATTTGCAAATTACATTTTCCTTTTCCATGTTTATAAAATCAAAATTTTTAAGAAAATTTTATTTTTAAACATCAATATTTTGGGCGGGTAGAGCGGGTTTCAGCGGTCAAACTTTTTTTTTACAAATATGCAAATTACATTTTCCTTTTTCATGTTTATAAACATCAAAAATTTTAAGAAAATTTTATTTTTTAAACATCAATATTTTGGGCGAGTCGAGCGGGTTTCACGGGTCAAAGAAAAGAAGAGAGAGAGAAAGAGAAAGAGAAAGAAGAGAGAGGAGAGAAGGGAGACCAAAAAAAAAAAAAAAAAAAAAAATTATTTTTTATTTTAGGTTTTGGGTTGGGTTTAACCCAAGCCCAACCCGAACATTCCTAGATTTTGAGAAAACCCAATCCAATTTGAGCCCGATTTGTGAATTTAAAAGCCCAAATTACAAAAATTTTGGGCTGAGTTTGGGTTGGGTTGGGTTAGCCTACCCAAGTTGCACCCCTTTCTGAAGGGGGTAAAAAAGTTGATATTTGGACCAAAATACTCTTTTATTTAAATTTTAATTCTCCCGTACTTCAAAAATTCATATCTCACAAACCGTACATTTAAAAATTGTAAATAATATATGCACGAAAAACTTATGAAATAAGGATTGCAGAAATATAATATTTATACAACAAACCTTCATAACCAGAGAGAAATAGGCAATCTAAAAATCTACTTCAACAATCTTATTTTATTTTTAAAAAATAAAATATTCGAGATATTTGCCAGAAAATTTTCAGAATTATTCATTTACATATGGTGCCAAATATATAAAAAAAATTAGCCTCAACAAAGATCAATTTCATGAGATATCATATTTTGCGTCAAAGTATTTTCATTCTTTTATAGACTAATTTTTATAAATATGAATATTCGGTCTCTATTGTGGCTAATTTTTATATATGTTATGCTCCATATGAAAATGAATAATTTTGAAAATTTTCTTGCAAATAACCCGAGTATTTTATAAAAAAATAAAATAAAATAAAATAAGATTGTTGCAGTAGATTTTTAGATTTTTTATTTCTCTCTGGTTATGAAGTTTTGTAAAACAAATCTTATATTTCTGGAATCCTTGTTTTATAAGTTTTCCGTACATATATTATTTGTAATATTTGGATGTACAGTTTGTGAGATATGAATTTTTGAAGTTAAGGAAAATTAAGATTTAAATAAAAGGGCATTTTGGTCTAAATATCAACTCTTTTACCCCATTTAGATAGTTGAGGGGGATTATTTGGTAAATAATTAGACAGAGGGGGATTTATTGAAAAGAGCTACAAGTCGAGGGAGATATTTTGATAAAAATTAGACAAGGGAGGTTTACTCGAGAAGGATTTTCTGTACCATGCCCAAATATAAATTAGTAAGCTGACAAACTTAAATGGGGCTCGATTCCACAATCGAATGGTAAAATTGACCATAAATTACTAAGAGTAATACAGTTTCAACCTTGGAGTGGATTTGGATACTCTGGAACCCTTAATCGAAAATGCGACGTTTATAGGTATATATATTACAGAGAGAACAACTTAACAGAATATTTTAATTGGCAAAACTCGAATTCTGACATTATAATGTACATAGTTGCGCTTGGGCAATTTGTGTCCTATTTGATAAAATTGTAAAATAGGTACTGAAAATTTTAAGAGTATATTTTACATGCTAAAATTTCAAGTGATACTCTTAAATGGAAATTTTTGATAATTTTTTGGATTTGAAGTGCTCAGGATTCATTGACAAGTGAAGAGTGTCACTTAAAATTTTATCCTAATTTAATTCTGCATTCTGCATGTAAATGATGACAAAAGCTCCATTATATTTTCTAAGTCTGTACAGAGAAGATGAAGAATTACAGGGATTTTGAAGTTCAGTGTTGCTGATTTTCCTATTCAGTATCTGGTTGTGCCACTTTCAGATAAGCAGCTGAAGGCCTCTGATTCCAAAATTTGGTTCCCCATTTGAACTCTTAACAATGGAATCAGGAAAACCAGAACATGAAAACAACGGAAGTAAACTTTTGTATCCGTTGTTGTCCGATTGAACCTGTCATTTGAATACGAGAAGATGTTTTGTCATGCCCCAACCTGTACATTGGGATCACTCATCCCACACTATACTTGACCATTTTCATATTAAATCAAGTCTTACATGAATCAACACAAGGGTTTTCAAAACATTCTCAATTACAATAACCAGTAATACACAAGTCCATAATTACATTATTCCTCGCTTCAAAACATCCTCAATAACAATAACAAGAAAAACACAAGTTCATAGTTACGGTACTGTGAAAACACAAAGCCCATAATTACATTATTCCTCACAAATCAAACAAATAAGACGGCCATCCACCAAAATCTCAATCCTGCTCAGCATCGGTGCCTTACCTGGAACATTGAAAACAGGGTGAGTTCACAGCTTCGAAAGATCATAGCTCTCAACAAGTAAACTTGTACCATTCCTCAATAACAATGGTACGACATACTAATAGACATATATCATAATTCATCACTAAAGTGCAGGTGTTACTAGCATAATTTACATCTCAATTCAATATATTATGAAATAAGTCCATTGATTAACTTTTAAAGGTAAATCGTAACTAAATCGTAACATTTGTTGAACTTTTGTTCTCTCTAATTCCTTATACATGGGAATGCATTCAATCTTCCATAGGTAAGGAATGAATCCAACATTTTAATAGGAGGTAGGATATGCATCAACCACACGTGATACTCGATAATAGTAGAAAACATATCCAACATTTCATATGAGAACAAAACCAATCAGGCAAGGAACAAATCCATAACACTTTGAAGAATTATTCAATTTTCATTTATCAGTGTGTGTGTGTATAGATATATATATATATATATATATATATATATATATATATTCCATTAATACTTTCAAATTTGTGTAGGATTACTCTAATCTCACTTCATTTATTAAAATTTATCCACAAATAGATTTATTTAAACATAGTAAGAAACTATATTCTCAATTAAGTACTCCAAGTACCACTTTTGAGAGAAATTAATTTACAAATGGACCTAAAGTGCCTCTAAGTCATATATTCCATGTATTATAATTATTTACTTCAAATAATAATTTTGATAGTTTCTGTAACTTTTTTATATTTTTCTCTAATTTTTCATACTTTAGTCAATAAAAATACTTTTCAATATCAAATGGGCCCAGGGTGGGCCCAATCAACTGGGCTTGTCAAACCCATTCTGTTGGGCCAAGACTCAAGCTGATATGCAGTACTTGCACGCGTGGGGTTCACTGTTATTGGTAATTTGATCCTCTTCCTCTTTCACACATCCAGTATGCCCAAATCCCTAATTTCAATCATTGACAGTTCTCTTCCATGCCAAACTCTCCCACTTCAGTTTCATGCTTGAAAATCAAATTAAATATAGGGCTATTCATTAATTCAAGTCTATATACTCAAAAAATTCCATGGTTTATGTTGTGACTTATGGGTTGATAAAGTTTTAGGATTAGAATTCTTTCATATGTATGTACATATGAGCACATGTACTAAATTCTTCATTCTATCTATCCAAATAATGGGTTTTAATTCCACTTCTTAAACAGAAACTAAATAATCAAAATTCCACAAGAAACTTTCAAGAATACACCAAGTTATGTCTAACAATTAAGAGGTTCGGGGCCGAGCTCAATAGTGTGGGCTTGTAACTCAAGTGGGGACATTAAAGTGATCGGATAAGTCGTCTGCCATAGTATATATATATATAAAAATAAAAAATAAAAAATAAAGTAAGAGGTTCAGACATGGCAATTAAGTTCATGTTTACATATACATATATATTTATATAATTCCAGCATACTAATATCTTCATAAATTCAACTCAAAACATATTATACTCATCTAACATGTCAGAAATCACTCGTTCTCAACAAGGCTTTGGCTATGGTTTCCCTTCAAAGTATTTTACTGCACCCGTAATAATACACTCTTATATATGAATTCTAGGACCATTAATTGAATCTTACCAGACCAGATTCCTTAACTTGGTTTTCTCACCATTACATGCAACAATTATTCATGCTTATACATTCTCTCACCTATATAACCATCAATATATTCATGTACAATCATGGTATACTCAGAAGGCCGAAACACATTCTATAATTCAAGCACCTTGCAAACAAGTATCTTTAAACATAAGATGCAATTTAGTATGTTATGTAATGTCTTAAGGCTAATCATCGAGATGCTGATAAATTCAGTATTAACTCAAGATTTTTCTTACATCTATCAATAAATGTATAAATATATATAAGCACAATACAGATTTACTTGTCAAATATTACAACATGCAGAGTGCATATGCATATTCATATGAGAATGTACGTAAACATATATAAACATATATATCTACTCTACTGCTCTAATCCATATTATATAGCAATTTCAACAGGATTCTAATTAAATGCTCTATCGTGTAAGCAAAGTCAACAGCTTTACCAACCATGGATATAAACCTATCTAATAGAATTCGTCTAACATCTTAAACAATTAACAGGGCAGAGTTCCACTTTCCTGTTAATTTCCTAATATGGTTTCACTCTCGGGTCTCAGTAGAATTACTCTTCCAGGCTTCTTAGTTTGGGCTTCTTTTAGAAGAAAGTGGTATATTCTGTCTTTTTGGGAATGTTTTACAATATATAGCCAAGGCATGTAACGGTAAAAAAAAGTGTAATCATGCAACGGTTCCAAAATGTCTATTCGTGCATGAAACAGACTTCTATTAATGTCCTAATAGCTTCTACTCATGTCCTAGCTCTTTTGAGAGCTAAGCATGATAATAACTGAACTTCTTTGTGAATATATATTAATTGCAAGCTGCATACTGCAATATGATGCCATGTTTTGTTATCATTCTAGTTAGATTCCAGTCAGGAACACAAAGCACACTCAAGTTTGGATGAAAAAGACTAATAACTTGGATCATCTTGCTGGTTTCAAAAAAAAATTTAATAATATTAAATAAATAAATCAAAAAGAAAAAGAAAAAGAAAAAGAAAAAACCAAACAAGGATAAGTACACATCTACTTGGTTCAAAATAAAAGAAATTTATACAGAACTTGAAAATCAGCTTCCTAGATGAGATCCAGCATCATGGCAAGAACGAAGATGGGATCAAGGAGAAGACAAAAGGGAGCTGGTAAGACTGACTTGGGGTTTTTTCAGAAATAAGCATATTATTCATCAACAAATATGATATGGTTTACATGATTTGATCAGCCACAATATTCACAATGGAGCACAAGAAATCAGAATGGCAAAGTTCTACGACATGAGGAAAAAATGACAATTCTCCTAAAGCATCAGTTTTACATGACAACCTTTCAAGTGTAAGTGTAAAGGAAAAAAGACTAGCACAAAATCAAACAATGACATTTTAAATAAAACAAAAGGCAATTTCCCATCAGTAGTGGTGGAGGAAAAATAGGAGTAGGAGAGTTGGCTACTTTCTACAGGGGAAATAATGAGTAATCAATCATGGTTCAGTCTAAAGCAAAGAAGAACGGTTTCAAATCAACATATCAGTCCCGAGATATGTACTGATAATCAGAAAATTGTTTGCATAAGTTTTATTCTCTAAATTTCAAATTAAGAGTTAGGTGTTTGATGGTGGTGCTGTCAAAGGAAACCACATGAAAGATATACAATAATACTTTTATTGTAACTCGAGATAGCTCAAGTTGTATCTCCTCCTTTTCAAATGGAAGGTTGAGGGTTCAAATCCATTAAGGTTATTGTCCAAGTATTTGTGAGTTAGGTGTATGACTAATTTACCCATAATAATACTTCAAGAGCTGCTCAAATCCCACTAGTTATCCACAATAAAGTAACAGATGCCCAAGTAGACTGCATAGCCAAAATCCAATTTTGAAACCTAAGGAGGCATCAACATTGTTCAACAAGTCACTTATCATTATTAACGTAACTAACGTGTGTGGGTAACATCAAGGAGATCACGCAATGATAAGAAGTCATAGTATTGCTCAACATGCAAACAGAAGTATAGTGTTCCACTTTGAATTTTGACAGTGCAGGTGCGGTGATAGTGGAGGAAGAAGTGGCAAAGCGTGCCCCAAATGGGGTGGATCTGGCAAAGGCACAATCGTGTTCTTGTGGGTTGAATGTCAGCTGTCAAATGGCAATGGTGGTAGTAGTGGGATGCTGCAATTTGGTGAGGGTTGTCGGAATTGGCGCTGCTGTGAAAAAGGGCAGTAATTACTTGGATCAGAACTGCGGCAGTGGCAACAATCATAATTGTTGTAATGTTATGTTATAATTTCCATTGAATGCCTTGTCAGTGGCAGTAGAATGGGTTTTTCATTTTTTTCCAATCTGTATATATCTTGCTTCAGAAGACAAAATTGAATACAAATAAACATACCTGAGGTTCTAAACCATTTTCTCAACCTGAGGTTTCTCAATGGTGGAGATTGGGAAGCCAGCTTAAATTTTTGTCTTCTTTAAGCACAGTTATCTTTAGATTGTTGAGATAAATCTTATAAGGTTCCCAAAGATCGGCAGTGTCCTCATAGCATATCACATCCTTTAATTGCCCAAGATCCTTGACGGACGCTGGCAGCTGACCCAGTTCACAACCTCTCATGTCGAGCTTTTTCAGACCACACAGCTCACCTATCCGTATTGGCAAATTGCTTATGCTTAAACAATAAGATATGTCAAGGAATCTTAATTTCTGGAGGCTTCCAACTGACTCTGTTAATCCTGTCAGTTCTGTACAGTAATGAAGCCTCAGCAGTTCTAAATTTGTTAGCATTCCAAGTCTTTCAGGAAGTGCTTTCAGGTCATCACATTTAGTGATGCTGAGCTTCTTAAGGCAGACAATATCACAGAGCCCCTCAGGCAGTTTCTCTAGATTACTGCAACAATGAATATCAATCTCCACAAGATTTGGGAACATATAGGCGAACTCGACAGTACAGTTCCTAAAGGTCTCGCCAATTCTACACATAATCAAGGATATCTTCCGCAAATTCCTGAACTGTAATTTGGACTCGCTAAGGAAAGAAATTGAAACATGCTCTAATCTGATTCTCTTTAGACTGGATAAATGACCAAGTAGCTCAAAGTTGCTTAGTTCAGCTGGGCAGACACCATTATTTGTGATGATGAGAACCTTCAGTTGATCCATTTTCTCCATGAATTCGGGCAGGCTGTAGTTCGTTGTCCGGAAGTTCAATATTAAGACTTCAACTTCAGGTAGTTGCTTGTCAGATGGCTGAACCAGCTTGGATAAATAACCAAGTAATGATTTGTATATATATGAAAAACTGTACCAGTTTGAGGAGAATGTTTTTTCAGGTAGTAGCATGTTGTTCAAGCTTGAGGAGAATGTTTCATCTGCAAGCAATATTCCACACATTGTGAATTGGGGGGGCAAAAGAAATAAATACAATATTGTCTATGAGGTTTCATATTGAAAACATAAGATAATCAAACCTATAGAGATAGACAAGATGCGGGCATGAAATGGTTGTATTTGTTCAATGGACCACTTGGAGAGGTCATTTTCACTTATGTCCATAATTAATCTTTTCCTCTGTTCTATGCTCTCTTGGCTGCTCCGGTAGATAGCCAGATCTCTGAGCAGATCATGCTGCGTGAGAAAATGTTCATTATAGTAGCCATCAATAACGAGCCCATCAATCTCACTTGCATCTTTCCTGTGAATGAGAGTAAAACAGATTGCTTATGAAGAAATTCAATTTTTAGGAATACAGTAATAACAAATATCTAGGGCCATTCCCACTCCAGTTTGGGAAAAACTAAGAACAAAGAAATTCAGGCATCCAAGAGACGACTGACAACAAAATAAAGGATAAATAGTAGCTGGAAACAGTTCAAAACTCCGATACCTTTCCTCTTATCAAATTCTCTCCAAATATTACTGTTGATATAAAAATTAAAGATTGAAGAGAGAAATTTAGAATGAAACAACACAAGGATATAAGTGGTTTGGCCACTACAGCCTACATCCACGGCACACAAACCCCAAAGGGCTAAATCATTTTTATTATATTCTCTTTGTTTTGTTTACAATGATCATCTCTATTTATAGATGAAATAATACAAGTGATAAATATGGAAAATACATTGATGGAGGATCCCTAAACCAATCCCATAAATCACTTCTATCAATATTCTATCAAGGCTTAAATCACTCCTATCATGATATTCTTGCAACAATTACCTTATTTATGAAAGTTCATAATCTTTATAACAATAATGATGATAATAATAATGATGATAATGATGATTATGATGATGATGATGATGCCGATGGTTGTGGTCTAGTGGTACTTCTTCCCCTTCCAAAATGGAAGGACGAGGGTTCAAGTCCTCATAGAGGCAAAGTGGGTGTGTGAATTTCTTACCATTGAAAAAAAATAATAATATGTTGATTGCTAGCATGTCAAATAAGCTAAGGACATATTATTTACTCCAGTTAACAGCAGGTTGAGCTATACAGTAAGACCACGGGTTCAAGTCAGAGACCAGCCAAATTATGCAAATAGTACAAAATGCTAGTTTAGGTATTTCCACTACATCCCTCCCAACATCTAGATAAACGGGGATTACAATAGGTGCTTGCCTTTTTATAAAGTAAAAAAACAACAATAGTGGCAACAACAATTTAACAATAAGGTGTTGTTTTTCCAGCCACTTGGGTCTGCTAAACTTATCCTATTTTTGCTTGCATCACTAAATAATCAGTCATGAAGTCTTCTCTTACCACCTCAACTCACATTCACTATGGCATCTCTTTCACCTCTAATCAGTTATTCCCCTTGAAAATTGTAGCATTTAGTGTTTGTTGTTTTAATAAAATTTGGCTTAGGGAAAAAAAGAAAAGAAATATGTACGTCATTTTTTCATGATAAGCCAGCTTAAATGACTTCCTCTAATCTTGCCTCAACTAGGTGCTACAGATGCTTCCGCACAGTTACATAGATGTCTTATTCATCTTAAGCTTAGCAATAAGCACATGCACAAACTAACATGTAGGTGCTGTTGCTCTGGCGGCTGGCGTAATGGTAGATGTCAAGGATTCCAAGCTTCCACCCCACCCAACACCTTGCATAGGCCGGACCATCACTGTGTGATGGGCGTTCACAAACTACCATGAAAAAAATCATCAAATAAACATAATTTGATCCCTTTAAAGAAAATAGAAGCCTAAAATACCTTGTAAACACAAGATTAACCAAATTTCGGGATGCTAGTTCATGGATGTTGGCAAGGGCATATGTGCCATCTTCATCCAGGTTGTACAGTTCCACCCACATATCAATTAGAGCCATGGCCGGAATCCTTTGATCTTCAGGAAATAATCCTAGGTCCAGGAAACACTCTTTGACATCAGTCTTTTCATCCAAGGCATCTATGCTAGTTTGGAGACGAATAAGCAGATCACTGTTGGAATCAAAAATGGATTGTCCTTTAGACCATTGCTCCAGTGTACGTTTCCAGATCACCTCCGGTCGTCCACAGAGTGATCCACCAACCACTGTAAGGGCCAGCGGGAATTCCCTACAGCCTCTGACTATCTTCAATTCAATGTAACAAATTATATCAGTTGCAGTTTTTTTGCAAAGAAAAAGTAATGCAGAATTTCAGATAAGTAAATGTAAGCTCTACTTCTTGATCTTCCTTTAAGTGGATGTAACTAATGCAGATTTGCAGACAAGTATTTTAAGGCTCTACTTCTTGACCTTGAATTAAATGAATTTAACCAATTCACAGTTCCAGAAAAGAAAATATTTTAGATCAGTTTGTGTGGAAAAATTGGAAATGCAATAATAAAACATGCAAACATAACTGCACATCTATATGTGCAAATATGTGATTTTAACAGATGAGTAACAGCAAAAATAATAATTCATGCATACAAGCGTCTGTGTTTTACCTTGTTGACAAGATCCTCTGGCATGTTGATGCTCCCACCATGTGGAAATGCTGAGTGACAAAACAGATCCATGGCATCTCCATCACTCAATCGTTCCAATTTATATGTACAATTGAATATTGGAAATTCATATCTTGATGTAACCAATATTCGGTATCCTGGTATTCGTTTCTTGAACTTCTGAATAAGGGATTCTGATACAGGCCAAGCATCATCCAAGACCAGCAATATAGGATCTGGTCCTATTTGCTTCAACAAGTTTTCTAGTTGAATGATTGCGTCGTCATCATCTTGATACTCGGGCACCAGAAAATTCTTATGTTGAAACATTTTCTGAACAATGACCTTGAGGTTGGGTGTCTTTGAAAACGTGACAAAGAAAATATTGTTCTTAAATACACCTGTCAAAAGATGGCATTATAAAATCAGTTAGATCAAAGTAAAACATCATTACAAGTTTTAGACAGTTCATACACAAAAATTCTGCACCAAGCTTGGGAAGTCTGTCAACAACTTTATCTTTCACAGTCAAAAATTGATTATCAGAATAAAAGGAACAAACAACTCATGAGGAACAATACAACTATGTGCCCCAGCAAAAACTATACAACCACTTGATTCAAATCAATGCCGCTAAACTTAAGAAGAATTCATTTTCATTCATGACATAGATTTAAAGGTTTTTGGATAAATTTTGCTAGCATGGCTCAATTTGATACAGGCACATCAAAGCATTTATTTGCAAACTATTAGGTCTCATTCTTTAAGCATTCTTACTTATATTTAGATTTAGGCTCCAATAAGATCCATACATTTATGTAGATACCTTCAATGTAAGATCCTAATAAAATACATCTCCCCTACCTCTAATCTAAAATCATGTTCAATCATTTCACTAGATCACCAAATTAAATTAGACATAAAACAAAGAGAGGATCTTTTTATGGATGATACCTTTAATTTCGACATCATGACACAGCATGCTTGCCAATGTAGTCTTCCCACGTCCTCCTGGAGCCGAAAGCACAACCACCTGTGCATCTTCTTCCTGTAGATCCTTGAGTAACCTGATCTTCAATTCGTGAAGGGGCACAGCCTTTCCAACAGTAAATCCGGGAGCTTCCGGAGCTCCACACGGACCTACAAACACACTCGGAGCACATACCCTTCCACCTTTTCTCATTTCATCCAATATTGCATAGATTTCATTAAGCCTCGCCTCATGTTTTTTGTTATCCCTTGTCTGCAGAAGTTGCACATAGGTCTGATAGAACTTCACATCCGAATCCTCCAATTCTTTGATTTTTTTGGACTTGGAAGCCCTCTTCCAGAAATTGAAACGCGATGTTTTCGAGCAGCTGCCGACGAGCTTTTGGGACTCGTCTTGCCGATCGGTGAACTTTCTGATTTCTTCCTCCGGAAGGCCCAATTCTCTGCCAATCTCCTCAATCTCACGTATGAGTGGTTCCATTGAAGTGACTCTTGATTCCAATCCTTGGCGGTTGTCATCGAAGCTGATGGCTCTGCCTGAAAAATCCAGAGCAGCTCTCAGTGCTTCACCAGCTACTGCTCCCAAACCAGCCCCTCCAACATCCGCCATCTATATGATGGTTTTCCTGTGTCTGCACAGAAAGAAAACCCCAATTCACTGAAAATCAAGAGGGAATTGAATTGGGTTTCTGAATACTCAAGAGGAATTGAAAACGGGTTTCTGAAAATCAAGAGGCATTGAATTGGGTTTCTGGTCTTCCAGAGAAACTGAAAACGGGTTCCTGAAAATCACGAGGAATTGAACTGAATTTTGAACCCATTTCAGTGAGGTTGGTGTTAACGACGAATGTGAGAAGAAAAGAACATTTTGGAATTTCACAAGTTTCTCTGATTTTTCCAGGGAAACTTCCTAGCATTGACCCGCGGGAGAAATATGACTGATAAAGTTTAGGAGGGAACCGCAATATTTGACATATGAGGATGATACAGCCCATTGGTTTGATAGTGGTAACTGGACTTAAATGCTTATTAAACATGTCTGTGTTTCACTCGGATAATTTGATTACGTATTTCACTTAAACTTTATTTAAAATTCAATTACACTTATTTAATTAAACATATATTTTATATATTAATAATAATTAATTTAACTAAACTCGTGAATAAGTTGTGTCATATTTACATTAATTTTAATTTAAATTTAAATTTAATTTTAATTAAACGTGTTTTTCAGTATTATATTGTATCATTTGGTCACTTATTTATTAAATAAATTATGCGTCTAGTATTGTTTCAACCTATATTGATTCACTTAAAATAAGAGAAATTGAATTGGATAATTGAATTAGGTTTTTGAATCTTCTTATTTTTGTTTTTGGTTGTCTACTTTGTTGGTTTGTTTTTAAATTTAAGTCTGACAGTGTTAATGGGTTAAAAGTGAAAGATAGGGGAATGAGATTGAACACATCTCAAATTAGGAAAGAAAATCTGACCATTGGATTACGAGTGCAGAGTATGTTAAAAGTAATAAATCAAAGGACAAATAGCAATATTAGATTCCTACTTTTCTAAACAAAGGTCATGAATTAAGCAATTTGTGCAAGTGAATTGTTTTACTTTAAAAACAAAAATAAATAAATAAATAAATTTAATAATAATATTTTGAAATCTCTCAAGTTTCTCTGATTTTTCATGGAATTAGAAAAGATAAAAGGAATGTCTTATTTAAAGGAGGAGTGGCGGCACTAAAAAGAGAAACATCTAGAAAGAAAAACCCAAATCCCCTTCGATCCTCCAAACTTTCTTCCAAAGTTGATCGCATTTTCTTTTGTCTATTTATTAGAGTTGTCTTTCCTCCTTTGCATAGGAGATTTCTCTTTTCTTAAGAGATTCTTTGCTTGTCGGAGTGATTTTTTGGCCTCTTTCGTGGTCTGTTATTTCTTTCCCTTCTTTATATTTCTTTCTTCTCTGGTGGCCTTCTTTGTATTTTTTGGTGGTCTAATTCCATGGAGGCTTCAGTGATGTTGACGGCGCAGGAGTCCACAAAGGGTGTGCTGGTTGGTCGGCGAAGAACGATGTTCTATGGCTTTATTGAAGGTTGCCGGCGTTGGATTTGGTTGTACAATCCTTTATGGCGGTTCTCCCTAGGAAGAGATTCGCGATGGAGTGTGGATTTATCGTTTCTGAGTACCAGGCTGGCGATTGCCATCACTGGTGTTGGCGCTGTGATGGTTGGCGGTGTTGGCATTGTGGTGGTCAGCGGTTTTTTGATGGGTCAGCTTTGGAAGTCGGCTCTTGGGTTGCTACTTCGACGTCATGGTTGATGTGGGGGACCGATATTTTCAAAGTTGCTTTTTGGAGTTTGGTGGGCCAACTACTTGACTTTGCTATAACTTTCTATAAGGCAGTGCAGCGGGGTCTTTTCCAAGGTAAGATTTTTTTATTATTTACGGTTTATTTACTTACTTACCTTGGTGTTTTCAGTTAGTGGTGATGCGTACTTTGGAGCAATTCTGGACTTGTTTAACATGTTGACTTTAAGTGGGCCGTGTTGTATTCTTCCTTCTAGGCCCATTTTATGGTTTCCTTTTGGGTCATTTCTTGGGGATGCAGAGGCCCGTTTTGTGTTCATTTTCATTGGTGGTTTGTTGGATATGTCTTAGCATGGGTCGATGGCTTCCTTTGTAGTGGGTTCTTTGGTCCTCTATGCTTGCCGATCGATGGATTTACGTTAGGTTCCTCCCACTATCTTGGCAGTGTGTATTGATGGTGTTGCTTTTTGTCCCTTTGATATCCGTATGGTGCTCCAGGTTCTCCCTTCGAATTGGGTTCCCTCTATATATAGATAGAGGCACGAGGTGGTTAATGCTGTTATCTAGCTTTCCCGGAGTCATGCTCATACGGATTGGTGGGCTGCAATGGTTTTAAATCTTGGAGTGCTGTTGGGATGGGCTACTATGTTTGGTATGATGCTTTATAATGCGGTGGCAGTTATCGCATGCCTTCTGGATGTTGTCAGTAGCATCATACCATTTTATATTGTCTGGTATCATCATGTACAACCTCCAAGCAATACGTCCTATGGTAGAGTTGATTAGGAAGGTTGCATGCACACAATTATGTACTTGTCTCTATATTTGAAGTGTGTTCCTCCTTATGTATTTGTGGCTTTGATGAATATAAAATCTTTTTGTTTATTTGCTCTATTTAAATAAACAAAAAGATTTTATCGTCACTGGTGTTGGCGCTGTGATGGTTGGCGGTGTTGGCGTTGTGGTGGTCAGCGATTTTTTGATGGGTCAGCTTTGGAAGTCGGCTCTTGGGTTGTTACTTCGACGTCATGGTTGACGTGGGGGACCGATATTTTCAAAGTTGCTTTTTGGAGTTTGGCGGGCCAGCTACTTGACTTTGCTATAACTTTCTATAAGGCAGTGCAGCGGGGTCTTTTCCAAGGTAAGATTTTTTTTATTATTTACGGTTTATTTACTTACTTACCTTGGTGTTTTCAGTTAGTGGCGATGCGTACTTTGGAGCAATTTTGGACTTGTTTAACATGTTGACTTTAAGTGGGCCGTGTTGTATTTTGCCTTCTAAGCCCATTTTATGGTTTCCTTTTGGGTCATTTCTTGGGGATGCAGAGGCCCGTTTTGTGTTCATTTTCATTGGTGGTTTGTTGGATATGTCTTGGCATGGGTTGATGGCTTCCCTTGTAGTGGGTTCTTTGGTCCTCTATGCTTGCCGGTCGATGGATTTACGTTGGGTTCCTCCCAGTATCTTGGTAGTGTGTATTGATGGTGTTGCTTTTTGTCCCTTTGATATCCGTATGGTGCTCCAGGTTCTCCCCTCGAATTGGGTTCCCTCTATATATAGACAGAGGCACGAGGTGGTTAATGTTGTTATTTAGCTTTCCCGGAGTCATGCTCATACAGATTGGTGGGCTGCAATGGTTTTGGATCTTGGAGTGCTGTTGGGATGGGCTACTATGTTTGGTATGATGCTTTATAATGCGGTGGCAGTTATCGCATGCCTTCTGGATGTTGTCAGTTGCATCATACCATTTTATATTGTCTGGTATCGTCATGTACAAGCTCCAAACAATACGTCCTATGGTAGAGTTGATTAGGAAGGTTGCACGCACACAATTATGTACTTGTCTCTATATTTGAAGTGTGCTCCTCCTTATGTATTTGTGGCTTTGATGAATATAAAATCTTTTTGTTTATTTGCTCTATTCAAGCTTCTGGTTCTAATCTCTAGTATGTCACCGTCTCATACCGGTGCATACATTCCTCCAGCTAACATAGTTGACAAAGCAGTATAAATATTCATCAACCACATCCCAAAACCAAGAAGATATTTTCATGACACGTCACTGAAGTCACTGGAATGCACTTGATGGAGTTAATCACAGACAGATATATTAATACGCATATATGACATCCAAAAACAAAGTATGCATAAAAGGACCAAGCCAAAAGAAAAGCTTCAATAAGTAGGCACTAGTACCTGCACAAGAACAATAGTCAAATACAATACAGAGGGTGTACTTATGTACACATTACATATACGGAATCAAAGAATACAAGTTTTGATATATAAGGTCACGATGAGTGTTTTAATAATTAAAAATTGAACCTTTGAATAAAATTATCTCAATCAAGGAAGGTGAAAAAAAAAAAAAATCTTTTTTAATATCTATCAATAAAAGCATTTTTTTAGTTGGGGTCGAAGTTTCCTTATTCTTGACCCGTAAGAAAATATGACTGTGATAACAAAACTTTCTAATATTTTATGGCTAGCCTCAGTATTTGACATGTCAAGTTAATGCCAACGTGAATATGAGTTTGATAAATTTACACATCTATTAAAAGCCTCTAGGTGGATTTGGAAATTGTTAATGGGATAGACTAATATTTTTTTGGAGTGACAAATATTAGTATTTTATATTATTTTATTTTTTGTACTGTACGAAAATTGTCTATATTTATATTTTTTTGGCCGGACTAAAATTGTCAATACTAATTTTTTTTAGGAGTGGGATTCAAGCCCACCAGAGTCCATTCCTATATCTATCCTTGAATATGTTGCGTTTATTTATAATTTAATTAGTCCCGTCCAATTAACATGTTCTGCGTTGGGCAATAAATATGTTATGTTCGTATTAGAAACAGTTCATTTAACTTAACCAATAAATTTGGTCAGGTTCTTAATTCTAATTTTATTTAGACGTTCTTATTCATTAAACTAATAATATATGCGGGCTCATGTTACACTGGCAATAATTGTCATGTGTAATATAACAGGATAACTATGTCTTGTGTCGTGTTTGTGAACTCATTATAACATAACAGTTACGGAGCATGTCTATACACAACACGTCAATTCGAGTCTACACGTGCTGACCAGTAGCTAATCAGAATCCAATCGAAACTTTTTGGGTTTGGGTAATTTTATTCGCAAGAAGAAAGAAGGAAAGTTGGCGAAGGGTGTGAATTATCTCAAAGAGTAGTTCGGTTTTACAATCTTCAAATGATTGTCAATTCTTTGGTACCAAAGTTTGAGGGTGAAGTATGTAATTGCATCTTTGTACCGGTCTAGGAAACATATTTTTGATTTGTGAATTTGGTCGAAACTCCATAGTCTGAGCTCGGTAACGAAAAAAACGATCGCAAGTTTTAATAAGGCCAAAACTGTACAGTCATAACCCTTAGTTGTATATTGAAATGACAAAAATGTCCTCCTTTTATTAAAAACAATTAAAAAAATAAAAGGTAATTACAAAATGGTGGGTTTATCTGTTGGGATGGATTAGTCATTTTGTTGTTATCTGACATTAAGCCAAACTCTATTGTCATTATCTATATTAAACTGTTAGAATTTTTTACTAAATTTTTTTTGTTAGTAATCAACAGAAAACTTTGACTAATAAGTGTGATCATTGTGAGTTACAAAGATGCAATTCAAAATCAACTAAAATAACCTAT